TCGTCCTTTCATGGAATACCGGGTTGGTAGCAATGTATATAGCTGATTTGTTGTCACAGAAGACCTTAGCAGTTGCAGTAACAGTCACACGAAAATCCTTTAACAATTGTTGAATCCACAAGATTTCTCTGGTAACATCAGCCAAGCTTGTGTATTCTGCCTCTGTACTACTTCTGCTTGCCACTTGTTGCTTCTTAGCCTTCCAAGAGATCAATGATGTGCCTAAGTAAACACATATTCCTGAGACTGATCTTCTACTATCAGGACAAGTCCCCCAATCCGCATCCGCAAAAGCATTTAAACACATATCAGTGTGTGCTGAGTAAAAAAGACCTTGTCCTGGACTTCCCTTAAGATATTTGAGAATCCTTTGAGCAGCTTGCATGTGTACATCAGTCGGAAACTGAATGAACTGGCTGAGAGTATGAACAGCATAGGTAATATCTGGCCTGGTGATCGTCAAATATAAGAGACGTCCAATAAGCTCTCTGTATGGTGTTGGTGAGACTAGAGGTATCCCAGTATCTTTACTCAGAGCAACATAAGGGTCCATAGGTACAGTACTGGGTTTACAGGCTAGTAGGCCTGCATCTTCTAGCAAATCCAGTGTATATTTACGCTGACACACTGAGATCCCTTTGGATGTTCTAGCTATCTCCAGTCCAAGAAAGAACCTAAGAGGGCCTAGATCTTTGATCTTGAAAGCTTTAGCTAGAACAGCTTTTAGCTCAGCTAAATCATCAGCATTGTTACTAGCAATAGCTATGTCATCCACATAGACTAATAATGCTATAAAACTTGTTGTAGTGAACTTCACAAACAGAGTAGTGTCTGATTTAGACTGAATAAACCCATCATCTCTGATACCATATTAGTAATGGGCCTAACTCAACACCCAAAAGCTAGCTCAAGGGAGGAGGTTTGCCTCATACTATATATATTGCCCAAGGATTTTATTTCTTTCCGATGTGGGACTCTAACACACACCCCTCACGCTCAGGACTGGACATCTGAAGCGTGAAGTTTGTGGGACTGGACATCCACGGATGGTAGCCCACTTTCGAGAAAGTTAAACCTTTGCTCTGATACCATATCAGGATTCTTCCACCATTGTAACAAACTCAGAGCTTGAGCTCATGGCCGTTAGGTGAGAGAGAAAGAAGAAGGAGAAAGAATCTTGTATTTTTCATTAAATGTAAAATGTGTACAATGTTGAGTATTTATAGTAAAACTTATACACATTTAGGGTCTAAATGGTAACCGAGGAATCTGGCTGAATTCAGCTGAATTGCTGAATCTGGCTGAATTTTTAGTGATTTTCAGCTGAATTTGGCTGAATTTTTACATTTTAAAATGGTAACTGTTGAATCTAGCTGAATTATTTTGTGATTTTTGGTACCATCTGTCAAAATAATTAAGACTTTAACTGAAAAAATATCATCAAATAATTATGAATATTAATAGAGTACCAAAGAAGATATCTAAATAAAATAAATAAAATCATCAAATGGTCTAATTAATTGTTATACTAATAAATAAATACTAAATTATCTAAACTTATTACAAATATAAATAATTTTTGAACTATTAAAAATAGGGGCTTTTGCAAAAATGCCACTTTTTTAATGCCATTTTTCAAAAATACTCCTTTTTTAAAACCTTATAAAAAATGTTCTTAAAAATATAAGATTTACCCAAATATGTATGTAATATTATTAAAACATACACAAACTACATTTCTATGTATCTAAAATCTTATAAATACTTTATAAATACCTTAAAATGCATTTTAAATACCTTTAAAATATCTTGTAAAACCTTTGAAAAACCTTAAAAATCCTTTAAAATAACTTGTAAAACCTTTTAAAACACCTTATTAAACCTTATAAATACTTGGATCGAGTCTTCAAGTAGTAGTTACAATCCATAAGTACCTTATAAACCTAATAAAACTTTATAAAATTTTTAAAAAGGGACATTTTTGAAAATGGACATCTAAAAAGGGCATTTTTGAAAAGGGGCACACCAAAAGGTGTATTTTTAACATTTTCCCTTAAAAATATGTAAATAATTAATGAAAGAAGCTTTGTCAAAGCATTATTGGAAGATTAATTTTAAAATTTAACATGATAATATAATAAGATTATATAATTGTGTTTTTTTTTTTAATTGTTATCTACTAGTTTAATAAATAATATGACCTCGAAAATTAAGAAAATTATTAAAAAAATCTATTTTAAATAATAATTTAGCATAGGTGTGAGTTGTTTTTATGAAATTTTTAAAATTATTTTAAATTATCTAAAAATTAATAAAATTATCCAAAATCATCTATAGTTATCCGAACATGAATTCGCTTCTTGCCTATTTTATTAGTGGTTTTATGTATTTGAATTATTCATATATCGCATCTGTATAATCTGATTTATTTTAAAATATAAATTTGATGTGTAATTTTTGATAATCCAAAATATATCAATTCGATGTGTGTACACGTTATTATCCAAATTTTTACCAGAAATGACTGTATCTACATATCTGTTGGTATTAAAAAAAAACTGTTGAATCTGGCTGAATTCAGCTGAATTTAGTTTTATGCAAATGGTGACTGCGGAATTGCTGAATCGGGCTGAATCCAGCTGAATGTTTTTTTGATGTTACCATTTAGACTCTTAGAGTAAAATACTCGTTATAATTCTTTTCATTGATAAGTCGATGCCATCCTCTTTCCAGGCGCCAACCGATGAATTTGATTTTAAGGTCACGAAGTTTCAATCATTTGGATGCAAATTTGAAATAGAATTTCTTAAAAGATTTTTTCTCGAGCAAAATATCTCAAAAGCATACAATCAAAAGCTTGTAAGCGAGACATTGGGACACGTTGGCACTTGGCAGGACAACTCACTCATCTAACCGGTGAACGGACCAACATTAGACATGAGATTAAAATCTTTGACGTGTCATTATTATCCACATGGTCTTCTCTTATTGGTGTACATTGTTAGATCTCTCAGATTATGTAGTTGTAGTGCCAGTGAGAAGATCTAATTGCATGAGGTTAAGTTAACACGTGTCAACTTCTGCTTCGTTTAACAAGGATCAGCCTTTAGGATCCAATTAGGTGTACAATTAGATTCTCCCACTATTTTTCATTATCCACGTCGGACATAAAGAATTTTTTTTTGCAGTTATAATCTTTTTATTTTGACTTTATTACTCTCGAACAGTGTTCTAAAAAGCGGTCTAGGCGGTCGCCTAGGCCCCGACTAGGCGCTAGGTTCTCATGCGACGCCTAGATAACCGCCTTGACCGCCTAAAATTACATAGATCTTGTTTAATGTATTTTTTCAATTTCAACTAGAGTTTTATTTATATATATAGTTATAAATATTCATATATTGTTTAATATAAATATAAATAAATATTTTATCTAATTTTTATTTATAATTTCATAATTTTTAGTTTTATATAGATATTTTATATAACTTTTATATATAATATCATATTGATAATGTTTTATGTTATAAACGTCTAAACCGCCTAAAAAATCGTCTAGGCCCCGATTAGGCGTTCTAGGCGCTAGGCACTGGGTCACCGCCCGCTTAGCGCCTAGCGCTTTCTTGAACACTGCTCTCGAACAAAATATCAAGAAAAATATTTCGTAATTATATACGTATCCGATTCCAAGTAGTATATCCCCGTACAGACAAATTTCAATGATCTGTTAGCAAGTAAGTATGCTTGCACTAAACCATCTCTAGCTAATTTCAGGTTTTTTTTGTTAATGTAATCTGTCTGTTTTGTCAACTTTTAATGTAAATAGTTCTCTTAATTATTTGCTTAATTATGTCATTTTTTTCCTCTTTCCTCTAAAAAAACGAATATGATGAAATTGAATAATAGCGGAATTATGACTTGGAAAATCAAAGTTTGGAGAAGGTTTGGAGTAATGAGAAGCACGAGCATTATCAAAAAAGTGTTCTATGTGAGTTGTTCTATTTCAAAGCCGACCACGCAAGGATACACTTACGTAACTTTGATCAATACAAAGATCACAATCAAACACAGTCACATATATATAGAGCATATATCTTCCTCACAAGAACACAAGAAATTGTAGAGCAAAGGTTGATAGCTAAATTCAGTAAATGCCGAGCTACATTTCCTTCTTCATGTTACTCTTTCTGTTCCTTTTTTCTCCACTAACAAACTTTGTCTGTGCATCAAGACTGTTACTGGAATCCAATAATCCGGGCCACATGAGCATGAATACAATTCACACAAAAGGTAGCGAAGAAGGCGCATTTCACGGTGGAGCGATGACCGATTGTCTCCCAAAGGGATTTCGCTTCAACTCGGCTCCTAGCCGTTACATTAACAATCTTCCTTTAGATTCAACACTTTGTTCCACAACAGAGAAAGCCATTCCTAAGCCATAAAAGTAATGAAGACCCTACAATATCTCATGAATTTGTATGCATGTATTTGTATATTTCACCTATTTGTTTTTTTTTTTCTTCTCTATGCTTGGGTTATTTATTGAATAAAAACCATGTATTGTATTCTTTAATTAATTGTGTGTTTATTTGTGTATAATATTTAAGCAATGATATATATATATATATATAGATGAAAAAAAGAAGTAAATTTATATAAAAATGTTGTTTAGTGAATTAATCAACACAAAGAATTTTTTGCTAAATATGTGAAGTTTTCTCTTCACCACGGTTACACTAATTTTTTTTTTTTTTGACAGCAAAATAAAATCATCTATTTAAGCTAGAAACCGGCGGTTTTCTACGGGAGAAAAACCAGTCCGGAGTTGAGAAGCTTAAATAATTTTTTTTGGTAGGAAGGAGCTTAAATAATTTATTTATTAAAATCTTAGATATATGTTCATAAAAAAATATCCATATATCCCATAATTCTTTTGTTTGAAATTTGGTTAAAGGCTTCTTCATAAAGAACCTATAAAATAAAACTCGATAATCGTTGGTAAAAAGTCAAAGGAAAAGGAAGGTCGAAAATCATAGAATCGAAAGTTTTTTTATTTTTATTTGGCGATCGTTCTTCTTCTTCTTGAACTCGCTACCATCGACGCTCAAATCCTGAATACAATCTCTTCTCAGTTGTAATCTCATCAATTATCATCTATTCAGGGCTAAGCTATGGGATGTGCTACTTCTCTTCCAGGCAAGTTTCCTTTTTTTCTCTCTCAGTTTTGTTGAATTTGTTCTCGTTGTTCTTATCAAAATTGAGAATTTATAGAGACCCTCGAGAAGTTTCATCACCAATTTTCAGAAGGTGTAACCATCGGGGTTGAATTAGAAGCTTTTAAAAATTGGGGAATTTGATGAGTGATTAGGGTTTCCTTGTGAAGAATTGGAGAACCCGAATTGATTGTTGGAGATTATGTTTTGTGTAGCAGATAGGAACTCTGGAGCTTTAAGTGGTCTTAGCAATTCAGAGAATGCTGTTCCAGCTGATGCTAAAAATCTACGTGTGAAGGTTTGATTTTTTTTAGTTATTGTTTTTGCTCTCGTTTAAGAAATGTTGATCTCGTTGAGATTGATTTGTTTCTTCACTGATTCCTGTGATTCATCAATGGAAGATTGCAATTTTTATAGCTTATTAGAAAGTTCAAGCTTTTGTGATCTGTGGTCTTGCTTTATATTTGATTGTTCACATTTTAAACCACGCATGTTGTAAGATGTGATAAGCCTAGTGAAGCTTTTAGTGGAGCTTTTAAAGAAAAATACACTCTTCATAGAATGCTAGTAGCAAAACCTCAACTTTCTTCTTAATAATTGACGGTTTTGCTTTATCAAGTTACTTTTGAAACTCTTTTGCTACTGTTAAGGAGATGATTCCTTTTCTTTCACCTTTCTTCTTGTTGCTCAGCAGTATTATGCCAGGTGTAGTATAATTGGTTTCAACTTTGCGCAAGACTTACCTCTTAACGTTTGGATTCACTTGAATGCAGTTAGTTCTATTAGGAGATTCTGGTGTTGGTAAAAGCTGCATTGTCCTTCGATTTGTCCGTGGTCAGTTTGACGCTACATCTAAGGTAAGTAAAACCTTGTTAGCTAATTGTCTTTATTGATCATCTGACACTTTTTTTTAGAACACCATGCTCTGATATCTGACATGTGAATGACGATTAGGATACTTATCTGCCATTGAATCTCAAAACTAATAGTTATGTATCAGGTAACTGTTGGAGCCTCGTTCTTGTCCCAAACAATAGCATTGCAAGACTCTACCACAGTGAAGTTTGAAATATGGGATACAGCAGGACAAGAGAGGTATTAAACCCTTCATGCAGATTTGTATTGCTTATTTTATTAGAAAAACGCTTTGCATGCTTACTAAGACTTAATCTGCGTTCACTTGATTTTTAGGTATTCTGCTCTTGCACCACTATACTACCGTGGAGCTGGAGTTGCTGTTATTGTGTATGATATAACAAGTCCTGAATCGTTCAAGAAAGCTCAGTATTGGGTTAAGGTATGTTTTTCAGGGGGTTCAAAAGGTTCCATTTCGTTCATGTTCTTAGGATTCATTCAATAGCTTCCGAGCTATATCTGTAGCCAGAGAAAGTTTAAAACCATTTGATTCCTTGGACCCATAGGATCTAAATGGCTGAAAGCCTGAAACATTGACTTTCCCCAAGTCATATATCTGTCAAACATAAAAGAGTAGAACAACTCTACCAGTTTTAATTTTACCCAGCTGTATATAGCTCAAAAGGGACAAAAATTTCATGATATTCTGCTAGTCTCAATATTCTACTCTCACCCCTCCAACTTGGTAGCTATTTTGTTGTAATTAAAACAGGCATGACCACACTTTATGCAAAAAAGTGGATGTAGGAAACGAAGTATCTAAATATAACCCAGTTATTTTTACTCAAACATGTAAAAAATTAGGATACCGGAATGTGATTGTTCGCAACTTGTTGTCTTCTCTGACATTTTTGTCCCATTGATTTGCACACTGCGTTGGTACCATGAAACTATTTGGAACAACTCCATGTGGTAGAGATATCAACATTATTAAATGTTAGTGCTGTTGTTTTACCCCTGACAGGAACTGCAAAAGCATGGAAGCCCAGATATTGTTATGGCTCTGGTTGGTAACAAAGCTGATCTACATGAGAAAAGAGAAGTACCAACCGAGGTGAGTTTACGTAAACGTCTTCAACTAGATTCCGTAGAGCATTTTGTTGTGGCTCACTTGCACTGTCCTTGTTTCTTCAGTGGGTTTAACATTTTCAATTTCTTAACAGGATGGGATAGGGCTTGCAGAGAAAAACGGCATGTTCTTTATTGAGACGTCAGCCAAGACAGCCGATAACATAAATCAACTATTTGAGGTGTGCATTTCTTTCTTGCCTCTGGATTATGATCGATTGTCTTGTCCCCTGCATGTATTGAGCTCTTGTTATCCGTTTCTTTCATTGCTTTGGATTTGGAGGATGAAAGATGATAGGCAGTAATATGGAGCTAGATTTTGTTATCATTGTGTGTTTCATGTTGAAGTTAGAGAACCTGGTGATACAAACAATAGTCCTCCTCATGCTGTTTGTGAAGAATAATAGTTTTTTGATGTAGGAAAAAGGATTGATTTGAAGTAGATGAGATTATTAACTTGTTGTAGTGTACACATGTCTGATAGGAAATCGGCAAGAGGCTACCTCGTCCTGCTCCTTCGTCATGATTGGAGTGTTGAATCATCTCATCTTGAGGGAAGCAAAAAACCCCGTTTTCAGACTACTAATCTTTTTATACATTTAATGTAATGTTTTTAAAACAATATTTATCTATGTGTTAAGTGTGTTGTATAATGTGAAGATTTGAGTTTGAAACTGGGGAATATATTAAGAACCTCAAAAATGGAAACCCAAGTGATTAAGCAATGAATCAATCATAAAGTACATATTTGAGTCGGATTCATGTAACTCCGTCAGAAGTGGAGAAGAGTAAAGGTTACTTCAAAACATGATTCAATGCATATATAGTAGTTGTGGGTTGCAGCCATTCTACAAAAACCTAAATCAAGAACCATTTTATACAAAGCTTCGACTTTTGATGGTTTCAAATGCCAATAAAAAAATGTCTCTAAATTTTTGTATTGGTCAACCTTAATATCATAAATGTGTAGTTGAGGCAATAAATGAATATGAAATTAAATCCAGTGTTTAAATATAAAATTAAAAAGGGGAATTGGAGGCTATAACCAAAAAAAAAATTAAAATTAAGGGAATAACCATTCTAACCATGGACCATCAATATTCTTTGTATTTCATATAATAATGACATGTTTGTCCTTATTGCCATATTACATAGTGCTCCTTTCTCCTCTCTATTTTTTTTTTTTTTTTATTAATCCTCGCCTCTCTTTCTTTCTTTTTTCTAACGTAATATATATATATATATATATATATATATATATATATATATATATATATATATATATAATACAAACTATATGAGATCCGTAATGTAACTATCTTCTATATTACTACACCATCACTTATATATATATAATAATAATAATAATATAATATAAACTAATAATATAAACTATATGGAATCCATAATGTAATTATCTTCTATATTACTACACCATCACTTCTACAACCACCACCATTGCTACCTTCAATATCACCGCTCTTGTTTACGTAAGTTGTTTGGGTTGCCAATGTTTTATCTTATAGGGTTTAATATTTTTTTTTTTAAAATACGTTTAATTTGGTCGTTTGGGTTGTCTATGTTTTATCTCTTACAGTTATCGTCACTATTACCACCGTTATTGTCACCGGTATTACTACCCCTGCACTTTTCACCACCACCACCACCGCTACCATTACCACCACCACCAACACCGTCACCACCACCTTCATCGCTATACTACAACTATCACCATCACCATCACCACCACCACCATCACCATAAACACCATCGCTACTGCTATCATTACCATCGTTATTACTGTAGCTGAAACCGTTATCATGGTACCTCATTCCATACTATTTTATTTGGTTCTATCTATATATAATAATATTTGAGAAGTGTTTTTGCTGACGTGTCGGACTCTCGGCTCTTGTTGAGTCCTTGATTTTACGTAATTACTTAATTACCCTTAATGAAATCTAATTAATTTTGGAAAAATTAATTTGAATTTCGGAATTAACCAGGAAAAAATAATTTTGGAAACAATAAACATGATAATTAACCAAAAAAAAAAAGGAACAACGAAGTACCAGTTAGGAAGCTTTAATTGAATTCATCGTGTTCTTCGTCGTGTGAATATAATTCTTCTAAACGAAGGCAAAACGTGAAATCCTAACATAAAGCATATATTCATAGCAATAACAGAGATCTAATAATTTAGTGATCGAATTTCACCTGTTGATCTGTCGAAGCAGAATAGTCAAGCTTCTCATAGTATCTTGTCCATGTTATGTCTTTAAGACGTCGATACTATCCTGCACCCTATAATTCTAACCAATGAAAAGAACAAATATTTATTACCTTGGATACAGAGTTGACGAAGAAACCTTGGATAAAAACTCGACGAAGAAACTTGCAAGTGTTAATGTATGATGAAGCTTCCATGAACGTGGATTCGTGATCATAATGAAGAAACGTGTGAATGGAGACGGTTTTTTTTTTTTTTTTTTTTTTTTTTTTTTCTTTTTTACCTTTTGTGTAAACAGATCTGTTTCATAATTTTTTGGAAAAGGAATTATACCAAAAAAAAAAATCGGAAAAGGAAAATATTTATTATAATATTGATATATTTAAGATGATAATGTCAAATATCCGAAAATTATTAATCGGAGCATTAATATAAACATAAAAGAATACTATTCTAACCTTACTCAAATTAATAAGATTTAAATATCCGAAATTAATCATAAACGGCTATTAATTGTTAAACTAATTAAAATAAAGATCAAACGTACCACAATAGATGAAATTTTTGGTATGATCGTCGTGTTCGTCGTCGTTTCAATCTAAATATTTGGAAAAAAAAACGAACAAAAAAAATAATATGTAGATCAATGAAAGAGAACCCACCAATTTAGAAACGGTTATCACGCCATCATATTGTTCGTTGGATGATTATAAGTCTCTAATCCGGAGATTGACTTGAACCCTGACAAAAACATATATTCATAGCATAAAATCGTAAATAGAAGGTAGAAGACCACCTATTAATCGGTTGTAACCTTGTGCAAACTCGATTTAATTTTGACGAATGAAATGTTGGTGTGGTGTCAAAACTTTCTTGGGGAGACTCGAAGATGAGAGAGCTGAAGTCAGAGATAGGCAGAGAGGTTCACATGTGAATTAAGGTATGGAGTGCTAACGTGAACATGAACGTGAACGGCGGTGATTTTTGCACATAATAGCAATTAGATCGAGTTTTGGAAAAAAATATGGATCAGCGTGACATGACGCATATGGATACCATGCATGTCTATCTATTGTAAATCAAAAATTATATTATTGTTCCGCCTTATTTTTGAAACAGAAAGGAATTTTCCCTTAAATTTTAATATATTTTATAAGATAGTATCAGATATAGTAGTAAATCTAAAATAGTTGTTATTATTCCATATTTTTACGGAAAAAAGTAAATATTATTTTAAATAAACATGGATAACAATGAATAAATGGCAGTTTTACAAATATTTATTATTATGATAGTGATTTGCTTATTAAAATATGTAAATTTTCTTTTCTTTTTTTTGTATTTATCGTCGAAAAATTTAGAAACCCTAAATCATGCACCGCCTCCTATTCAATATAAATACCTTGCTCATGGTATTCAATTTCAGATCATAACTAACCCTTGTTTTTTTTGTTCTTTTTTTCAAACTTTTTTTTGCTTCTACCTAATTTTAATTTTTCTTTTTATTGTAGGGTGGATGTATGGAGGGGACGATGTGAACTGGTGTATGGAAAATTTGGACCTAATTCAATGAATAAACAGGTGATCTTATAGTTTATATGTACAAATTTGATTTTTTTTTTTTTTTGTATTTATGGTTTCACTATTTTCACCACTAATCAATTTTTATAATCAAAAAGTTTGGTTTCAACTTTTGAGAAGGTAATCATCGATGGTTTGGTATGTTTCTTTTTGTTGTAAAAAGATGAGGTACCTCCCGATTTTGTTGAGGTACATGTTCTTATTATTTTCAAATATGTCTTTTTTCAGAAGAAACACTCAACTTTTGATAACACAGTTGCCACAAAGTCAGAAAGATGACTTATTTCAGGGATGAATCTTCAGAGGAGGCTAATTTTTGTCGTTAATACAATTTAAGTATTCCTCTCTTTAGATTAGGGATAACAAACTTGTCTGTTAAATTCAGGAATTACTCTTTGTTGCCAATCTCTCTCTCCAAACTAAAATATTACATATATGGAAGTAGTAACTTAAAGTTTTTGGTATCGAGGTCATTCTAAGGCACTGAGATTCGGACTTTGGTATGTATAGGATTCGTTTTCCATGCACTAAGATTTAATTATTGTTTAATTTATTGGTTTTTAGGTTTCTTTCCATGCTCTGATGCGTTTTCGGGTGTGCCAATGGAAGCTTGCATCACTCTTTACTCCAAGCGTAAGTATGCTCTGCATTAGCTTCTTCTGTTCCATTGGTTATTATGGGTTTTGACTTTTGAGAAATATACAACAATTTAAAACCAGGTTTTGTTGTTGATTGGTTCGGTTTGTATACCATATTTTGCTAAATACATATGACCATAAATAAGACCAAAGGAGCTGGGTTAGCTCCTTTGCCAGCTAGGTTGACTTCGTCTCCTCCCCGTCTTGCGGATTTCCGTTATTCAACGGGTATATTTGAGAAGTATACGGTACTAAAACCACAACCATTGATCTTAGCTTGATCGGTTCTTCCCTAGGATTTATATATAAAAGTAAATTGTTTTGTTTAATAATTTTCTATTGCATGAACTTTCGAGACAACAAGTGGACAGGAGTGTAATGTCATCAAAAGTCAAATCAAAAACTGTGAAGAACATAATAGACAACGTTGGCTTCTTTCGCAGCTGCTCAACATTGTCTCTCCCGATGGTCCCAACACTCTCTTCTTCTTTTTTTGTCAACATTCAAACGTTATTTAAAATAAATATAAATGTTTAACCTTAATCATCTTTCTAGATCTTTAAATGCCTAAAACTTCAACTTAATCAGTCAGCAATCCGTCACGTTAATGATTTTGAAAGGAAGACTTTTTTTTTGTTTCGGTTAGTTTTGTTTGTTTAGTATTTTAATCACAAGATAACTCTAATTTCCCATTAGAGTTGTGTTAATTGTGTTGATTATGATTTGGCGTTCCAATTCTGATATTATTTTTATGTTGTAAATCTTAAACTGTTACGTTATTGTTCTATCTTCCTATGTGAGAAAAAAGTAAAATGTTTTAAAATTTTGACATGGATAATAATATAATTGTAAATCTATAATAATTATATTATCATTTTATTTATATTTTTCAAAAAGAAATATATTTATCTTAATAGATCTAATATGATAATGTCAAATATAGTTATAAATCTAAAAGAGTTATGTTATTATTCCATCCTTTTATGAGAAAAAAGTAGATATTCTCTTAAACTTTTAAATTAACATGGATAATAATAAATAAATGACAATTTTACTAATATGATAATGATTCGGTTTTAATCTTACCAAAAAACAAATAATGATTCTGTTTTAAAAATATATAAATTTTCTTTGTTTAGTTGTAGATATTGTCATATAAAAAATTCTTAGATCCTCCACTGCCTTAATTTTATGTAAATACCTTGCTTGATATTTAATTTTGATTTGATATCATAACTAATCCTTGCTTTTTTTTTCGGCACTAACCATTGAATTTTTTATACTGCCATTTAATTCTTACATAAAAAAT